AGAGAGAGAGAGAGAGAGAGAGAGAGAGAGAGAGAGAGAGAGAGAGAGAGAGAGAGAGAGAGAGAGAGAGAGTGGCATACACGACTCCCACACTGGCCTGCAAGGCCCGACATTGGAACATCGTGGGGCCTTGGACCGCCCGTGCCACATTTTTGGGAAGGCCTAGGGCCGCTGTGACGCACAACTTCACGCCATGTGCTACTCTCCTTTTAGAGTCAGGCTAACATGCGGAAGGGCCCAAGAAGTGTGTAACTTGGGGTGTGCCAAGGATTTTTGGGAAAGGTGGGTGTGGAGTTCTAGGTCGGAACTGGAATCTCCAATGTTGGTTCCTGTACGAAGAGAATGACGACAGAATCCCGTGCTTACAACCTCTCCCTAGTTCAAAAAGTGCTTATAAAGCTCTTGAGGAGCCTTCAGGTTTCAACGTCTTTCACTGGGGCAGAAGGTGCACCAGTGAATGAAGGATCCCGATTGCAAACGAGGGCTTTGGCGACGTGTCTCGCAAAGCTCGGAGTTGGAATCAGATGGACGCAGTCACGCTAATCGGTATGATACCTCTGTGTCTCAACGTGGAAGATCGTATCAATAATTATAAACCCCGAGTTAACAAAACTTGAGCACTAACTTTCCGAAGGACATTCGTAGGGTCGCCCAATCCGTGTCATAGCCTCACGTACGTCCCACTCGCAAACACGTCCTTCCTGCATTGTATGTGACGTTCCAGCTTTTGTACCCGAACGATCTTCCGAAGCCCCAAGTTTTTGTTGTTCTGACTCTTCAGATTTCTCTTAGGCTCTTTTTGGGTACCCCTTCTTTTTGGTATCTCCCTAGTGCATGGAATCGCGAGCCAACCCGGCCCGGTCATGTCTAAGACGACGTTTCTTTTGGATTTCTTTGCATTTTCCGTTCGACAATCCATGGATCTACGTAGGAATTACATGCGCCTTAGCGAGCGTTGGGAACTCTGAAAATTACGGGCGCTCGTCCCGTTGACGTGTCCTTTCTTGCAAATGCATGTTCCCGCACACACCCTTGGAAGATCTGTGAACACACCCTAGGAAGATAGAAAGATGTAGGATTTTTGCGTGCTCAATTTTGCATGTCGATATTGGTTTTGAAATTTTTAATCTTGAAGTAGCTTTAGAAACCAAAATGGATGAAGCGTAACTGTTTCGGTGCTTTTTTCTTTTCTACACCAGCGCCATACATGCAAGCTTCCCCGCTTCCCGCAAGGACCCATGCCATCTTCACCCTCCTCTTCACGCCTTCCCTCTTACACCTGTAATTGTTTTTCGTCCCCTCCCCCTTCGCGCTTCGCCCTTACTCCTCATCTGAATCTTGCTTCCGCTCCACGCTACTTTTCTCGCTCTCCTCCTTCCCGCTTTCATCCCCATGCAGGAACTCCCTACCGATCCCCCTCAGAGTATTCAAAATCATCAGGACGTCGTGTAAGGAGGATACTACCCGCACGTTGTGATATGATTGGCTGCGAAGAAACTGGCTGGGATCGATATGTCTTTCCTTGGGCGATTAACCCAAACTCCCTCCTCACCCCATCCTACCTCCACCTCACTCTCCTCCACCTTCGAAATCCTCTTCGCAACTATAAAACTCGCAAGCGTGTCCGAAAAGCTCTCTCTCAACCCATCTGCCAGCTTCAGGGAAGTCATGGCTAGGTGATGTGCAAGTAAGCGAGTCGGAAAAGTCCCGACGAACCGACTGGAGTGTATGCATGATTGTGCGTCGGGTGGCCGCGACGAACTGCGGGATTTGGGCAAGTTGGTGCAAAGGCTGAGTTGGCAGGGTGACGGTCGTTGTGGTTTGGAGGTTGGTACGTGGCGGTCGGGATCATCAGTACCTGAGTGAGAAGAGTGTGTGTATACGAGTGGTTGCATGGCCAGGGGTCATTATCAAATAGCAGAAGACCGATGCGCCTTGATTTTCGGATTCTTCTTCCTTTGGTTCTTAGCAAACTAATTCCATGGTGAATAGCCGGGTGCTTCCCCTCAAGATTGTCTGTGTAACTGGAGTTCTCTTTCTTTCTCCTCAATTCTCTTCTTTGGTCAAGCTACACCTTTGTCTCTTTGTCTCTCTCTCTCTCTCTCTCTCTCTCTCTCTCTCTCTCTCTCTCTCTCTCTCTCTCTCTCTCTCTCTCTCTCTCTCTTGTTCCTTTGCTCACATCTATATGATGAATGTCAAAATGACTCGAGATTTCCTTCATCTCACTCGCCCCTGTTGAGTTCAATAGGATCTCGCACGAACGAGCATCGTTGAACTCAAAGGGACCAGTAGGCTCCGGAAGATGTTATCGGTTTTTCTTTTTCGGTTGTTGATGTGTCTTTCGAACAATTGAGGATTCGTGTATGTAACATTTGTTATGCATGCGTATTGATTGGGCTAACTAAGCTAAAATCCACCAGAGATTATGGGAATGCATGCTTGTTGCTCCCGTGATGAATGATGATTGTTGTTGTGGTTGGATCAAACTCACACTTTTCCTTTTGATCGGTTTGCCGAATGGATGAAGTGCAATAAAGCCCGCAGTACTGCAACTAATTACTATTGCGACTGAGCAATCGATTGGGTAGACTAACGTACTCAGAATTTGCTGGTGCCATGTGGACCGATTGTTCCGACTCGTCTGGGTGCCGACTCCCCGCATCCCCACCGCGACCATTCCTATATAACGAGGAAAGGACACATGTATGTGAGTGGGACATACGGGAAGTCGCCAAGATCGGCGGACGCTTTTATTTTCCACCTGAAACAAGGTGTTCAGGATTCGTAGGTGCTGGTTTTGTCATTACTGATACTCACTTCCCTCCCTACTCATTGTTATTGCCTTTCAACAAGGTGATTGTCATCCCGTGGGCGGTGGTAGCACCCCACTAGCCCAACACTCTGTGTAGCGATTGTCGCCGTGCAGAGCGTTACCGGAAAATGGGGTTCCACTACCGAACTTATGGCGAAGACGAACATAAGGAACGAGCAACTAGGTTGAGGCCATCCGCATCAAATTCCTAGCTCTGTAATGACCGGCGTCGGGATCTGATTCGAAAACGAGATCCCACGTGCATACCTTCACCTTTCCACTCTAAAAGATGGTCAGTGGCCCGCACGAAGGTTCAACGATACTTTTTGGATTGAATGGATGTTTGAAAATTGCGCGCGTTTGTTTCCTTCCCGCGCGACGATGACCATTCTCACTAAACCGGAACCATGCGGGGGATTTCAGTTACGTCTGTGTCCCCACACTCAATTTCCCAAAAATCCTTGGCACACCCCATTTTGCTGTCTTTCAGGGCCTATTCTGCACAACTTGTCACTCCGACCGAAAGACAGTGTGGGGTGTGAGGTTGGTATCGGAGCCTGAACGTCACATGTACGGGAACTCGGGCCACCACTTGAAATGATCGAGCGGATACAATGGAGAACCTTCACATCCCCCAATCCGAACATGCAAGGAAACATCATTATCTATTAAGCACACAAGAGATGGTTACCGACAAAAGAAAGCTCATTGGGAAGATTCATCACACGCATCCACCATTCACAAAACAAAAAAGGTGCTCGGTCTCTTATACATGAAGTATTACTGGTGCAGGCGGCAGTCAATGGCTGTAGACTTCCATGCATGCGGAAGAGTGTAATGAGAGTGCGTGCACCTAGTTATTCACGAAGTTGAAGCATACTTTGTCAAAAAGTGAAATCCGCAAAACATACCTTTCACCATGGTTACCAGGCCGAACGTTCGAGGGCCCTCGCCCTCGGGCTGAACCCCGAACATTCGGGCGTTCGGGGTCCCGTTCGGAGGCCGAACCTGAAGGGGTTCAGCCCCCGCCAAAAATATTTCGGGGGCTAAAAATGATTTGTTTTTGTTGCTTTTTTTTTTGTACATTCTGTAGGACATGCGCTACACGCGCATAAATTTTCAAGGCCTTTTGCTGAGCCCAAAAAAAGTGAAAAATCGTCAAAGATGGCGGTGTTAAAACGTGCTCGGCTACTCAGTTTTTTTTGTTTTCACTTTTCAGTTTTTGTTGTGATTTTATTTTGCTGCCTCAAATATTTTATTATGCTTTGAAAACTTTTGCATGAGTTTTTTATTATGTGAAGTACACATATCTGAAGTTGCAGGGCATTTGACTTTGCCCAAAAAAAATGAAAAATTGCCAAAGCTGGTGGTGTTGAAAACGAGCTTGCGCACTCACTAATTTTAATTCTCTAATTTCTCTTCTTATTTTTTCTGATTTTTCTTATTAAGTTATTAACTAGGCTACCAGCCGGGCCGCCCGGGTCCCGGGTTACCAGCCCGTGCAAGGGCAAGGGAAGGTCCCAGCAAAAAACAAAACAATTCCAAAACATCTGAAAAAATACTATGTTATGTAGAAAAATAAACTAAACAACTTTTGCCTCAGGCTCACATCGAAATTCTTTACCAAATTTAAAATATAAAATAAAATTTTAAAAAATATATGTTTTTTAATCTTTTTGGCCCGGCCGGGCAAGTGACCCCGGGCCACGCTGGTAGCCTAGGTTATTAACTTATTAGTATTTATTTAAATTATTTTCCTTTTTTTATTTTTATTTCAAATTTGGGAAGGAGTTTGGATGTAATGCTGTTGTTTAATTTATTTTTCTGCATAACATACAATTTTTTTATTATTATTTTTTTTTTTTTGGGTCCGCGTTCGGCCCGAACGGCCGAACTCATCCCCAAGGGGTCCCGTACGTTCGGGCGTTCGGGACGGCGTTCGGCCCGTCCCGAACGCCGACTACCCTGCCCTTCACTCTATTCCTAAAGGAGAAAAGTGGACACCCGTTACAGCCTCTCATGCAAGCAGAAGAGTGTAACTAGTTTGCTGCACCCTACAGACCAAAGAACAAAAGAGCACCTTCATATAGGAACGACATTCATTCAAACCAATGAGAAAAGAAATGGAGAGAGAAAGAGAGCTTTACTAGGCAAACAACACTCATGCACAACCTTCGAAAGAAAAATCATTCAGAGATATCCACGTGAGGTAATCAGCGAAGTCCGAACACCGATGCATTTACAGAGGAACTACCAACAACCGCATTCATCTTGGAAGTGGAAGAGTGTAACAGGACATCAAGGCGCACATCATTATTCCTTCACTCGGTGAGAAAAAAACACAACATTCATCGATGATCTCAAGCATTCATTCGATAGAGACCACCACATACATGATATCCATGAATCACATACAGAAACAATCGAAACAACTTAAAGAAGAAAAGAGCTGCAAATCGATGGAGGCATCACATACAAAGACAATCGAGACAACTTAACGAGGAAAGAGCTGCAAAATGAGGAAGAAATGACATTCTCGCCATGCACAGCCTTCACTCAAAATTCCATGAGCCAATCAGGGGAAGCAAGTTATCCCGCTCTCACACATTTGGCACCTTCGCCCATCAACCACCGTCTCATTACCCTTGCCCGAGTACCGACGATCCTGGCCGCTGCGTACGCAGCAACATCTCTCAGTGATCGTCATCCCGCCAACCTGACTTCTACACTGACCCGCCCAGATCCAGCATTCCTCGCAGCTATCCGGCGCGCGATCCCACAAAGCTGCGGCTGACCCGTTGAGACTTTCCATTCCACTGATCACCACCTATTGAGCCGCTACTCCATTCAAGTTGGCTGATAGCATAATGGGAGAAAGGGGAACACCCTTGTAGGATATATAGTTGTGGAAGAGAGGGAGAAGGGATACGTAGAAGGAAGAGGGGAAGGGAGAAAAGGGCATAGGAGGATAGGAAGGCCATATCGACCCCGAAGTAGCGCTCATAGCCAATCGAAGTGTACCATGAAGGCATCAGAGCCACTCTCCAGACTGTGATCCGATTTCTATGGTCACTTGGGCTCGACAAGATCCTTTCAGGTGTAGAAGAAGGCGGGAAAAGGGGTTATGAGAGATGGTGTGGGGAGGGACCAAGATTCAACAGGATGAAGAAGGAGAAGGAGATGCGAAAGAGGGAGAAGAAGACAGTTACACTTCGTCGTGAAAGGTGCAAACTAGAGCATGGACCCAAGTTTATAAGTGTGAGAACGAAAAGGCACAAAACCAGTTGCGAGAAATGCCAATGGACGCTATGCCTAATTCCTGCGACAAATTTAAAATCGAAAAGTACAAAATAAATCTGAGCGCTCAAGGCGCACAAAAAGTCTTCAAGGTCTTCTCTTTCACCTAAATCCAAAACAAAAGCAGAAATTACAAGGATAATAATTCCAAAATTACACGAGAAACCGGAATTTGAAAAGCCATGCATTCGGCATGTCTGCAGGGTAGCCTGCAGATAGCCCACCAAAGACGAAGCCTGCAGAAACCAAACAGAAACAAAAGAAGATAATCTAATGTACAACCCCTTCAAGAAGGCAAATGACACAGAGGGGAACAAAAATCCGCACAGTATCGTAAACTGCTGCATCACACCACGGCCTTCTTTTGCCTCGCTGAGAACCAAGTAGGTTGGTCTAGGAGTGGGCGTGTGTTTTTGTGTTTTATTTACGTATTTTTCTAATCTTTTTAGATTCACAGTATTTTGTAAACAAGCCTGATTGATGCTCTACAAGGGGTTACCAGGGACCCCAGGTTAACCCTCCCATCTGTTACATGCTGCGCCTGAAACGAGGGCCATTTTCAG